ACTAGCTACCATTCTCCAACTAAAAACAAGAATTGTTCAGTGCCTAAAGCCCTAGAAGCAGAAGCTGAACAACTCAATGTACATTTCAAGGAATAAGTCTCACGTCGGATGTATATGCCACCACACTGAGATTCCTTATTGGTAAGTTCCAGCGGAGCAAACTTAACAAGAACCCACGTGGTCAATCACCACACAGAGCTCACCAAAACACCCAATGCCATAACCAGAGACAATCACACTATAACCCAGGACGAGCGGCTGATGGCTTCATGCTTTCCCAAAACATCTGAACAAGAGTCTCATTGGAATGAGACTTCCAATTTGGAACAGGAAGTCTCTTGGAATGTATCCTTGGAATTTATCCTGGTTTATAGTTTGATTATGTCTACCTTTTTTGTCTGGCAGGATAATGCTGTAGTTAGAATTCTATAATCAGTGGCTTCTGTGGATTACTTTACGAAATGTTGGGTTTGTCGTGCTAAACCCAGGTCTTTACGTGACCAAAGGGATCCTTTAGTCTACTCAGTGGGTAACTTCAGCAACATCCCCGACACAACTGTTGTTCAAACTGTACTAGTGGTCCCTTTTATAGAGTCAGACTTTTAGACCCATGTGTTCTCACTCCCTGCTTTAATTTAACCCAGTCATGGGATACTAGATATAGAACTGCTACCTACTAGCGGAACAGGGAATCTGTGCAATTGCTGACACTTTTTGCTGCACATAGATAGATACATAAGGTATTGAGACTCAGTTGCAAAAAACGAACAAACCGTACCTGGTTAAAAAGGGTAAATTCCCCATCTGGCTCATTCTTTGATCTCTTCAATTTCAGTTGGTTTGGTTCACGGGTCCCTGGCTAAGGGGCATATTCTAAACTCAGTATCATCCTTGGGAGAGTCATGATAGTCTCCCTGTTACACTGGACCCTCTTAAAAAGTCTTAAATGTCCATACGCGGCCATCTGCTGAATGCTAAATGGCCCCTCTCCAGCTGGAATGATCAAAACTCCAAGAAATGCATGATAACGAGGACCCCTTAACCTATAAATGATGTGTTAAGGCCAAAACCATGATGACTGAGCATGGTGCTGATACCCTGTTTTGGTAACATTCGCACCCAGGTGAGAGCCTGACCAGAAGGGGAGGATTGTTAAATAATATTTATAGTAGGCCATTGGTTGGGACTGAGCTTCTGCACAAGGCCGAAGAGACCAAACCAAGATGGAGTCCCTCAGGCTGAAGTTCCACGCCACTAAGCCAAATCTAAGCTGCCGATCTGACCTTCCAGGAAATCAGGAGAGAGAACAGTCAAATCTCAACAAACCAGTTTGAGCCAACAGAAGGAAGTCTCCTCTGCTTTGACCTTTAAAAGGGACTGAAATAACCAATCTGGTTTTTGATCTGTTTCTGCTTTCTTTAGCCTTTTTCTGTCTAAAAAGCCAAACTCCTCTGCTCAGCTCATCAGAATACTCATTCTGTAAGGCAGAATGTGGTGTCGCCCAATTCTAGAATCACAAATAAAAGCCAGTTAAGATTTCTGAATGTGTTATAATTTTGTCTTTTGACAAGTAACAGGAGATGGAATAGGAAAGGTCCTTATCTGAATTCCATTGTTAAAGCAAAGCTGCATTTAAGCTTTACCGTCAAAGTAATGCAGAGTTGGGTGACAGAGGCTTTTTGAAGCGGCAGATGACTTAAATGCCTAACACCCAAATGATTCAGTAGCATCAGTCTAGCTCTACTGCTGGGGAGAAAACATTTTCCTGGTGCAATTATTGCTCTGAACAGAGTGGTTTTTCTACCAACAGAATGAATGGACTAATGGAGAGGGGAAGGGTGGGGAGGCAAGAGAAGCTGGCAGTTGTAAATTCTGGAGTGATGGGTGAGGGGATGCCCTGTGGTGACGGTGTTGTGGGGATTCTGCTGAGTCCCCACTGGGGGCTCTGTCTGGAGTCAAGGGCAGCGTCCCCTCCCCCACGCACAAGTACAGGGAAGCCTTGCTTGGAGTTTCACCGGTTTGCACTGTGAGCGCCACATGTCTCCTCTGGATCTCTGCTTCCTAGTGGATCCGCGAGGGCCAGGATGAATGATTTCTAACACCCCTTCCAGCTCTGACAACCGTTCAGGTACCAGACAGCAAACAACTTTTTTTTTTTTTTTTTTTTTGAGATGGAGTTTCGCTCGTTACCCACACTGGAGTGCAATGGCGCGATCTCGGCTCACCGCAACCTCCGCCTCCTGGGTTCAGGCAATTCTCCTGCCTCAGCCTCCTGAGTAGCTGGGATTACAGGCACGCGCCACCATGCCCAGCTAATTTTCTGTATTTTTAGTGGAGACGGGGTTTCACCATGTTGACCAGGATGGTCTCGATCTCTTGACCTCGTGATCCACCCGCCTCGGCCTCCCACAGTGCTGGGATTACAGGCTTGAGCCACCGCGCCCAGCTAGCAAACAACTCTTACCAAGAAACATACAGCCTCCGAGTGTTAAGCGATTCTGGGCTTCCATTAAGGCAGAGGCACAGATTTACCCAAACCATCAAGAGCAAGTCAGACCTGGGGGTCTAGTGACTAGAACCTACCTACCCTCAGCTATGGACGCTACACCGAAGTCTTCAGAGTTCTCCTGACACAGAGTGAGTTTATGCCATGTCCAGCTAGTCAGCGCTATGCAGACACCACCTCACGCCTTCCTTGTTGCTGACAGCTTCTGGGCAGTGATGTCATGGGATGGACAAAATGCCTTCCCTACCCCTCACACCTGGCTGACACCCCTAGTCTGAGTCAAGGGGAACCACGACACCAGCAGAAGGTTCTACAACTCACACTGTCATTTGGAATCCTGTGAGGCTCAGGCCACTGGCCACCATGAGTGTGCGGTGGGCTCCTCCTACTCTGTACCCGGCTCTGTGCCAGGAATCACAGGTGCAAGGAGCAGATATGGCCTGTGCCCGGGCAGAGAAGGGGGCAAAACCAACACTGCTTACTGTCACTCAAACACACGCCTTATGAACCTCACCTCCATGGCTCAGCACATGCTGTTTTCCCACCTGTAGTATCCTTCCTCCTCCACCCACTTTACCTGCCCAGGCTCCAGAGAGTCAAAAAGATCTGGGGTCGATGACCTCCTCCAGCATCTGTGTAAACCTGGCAAGTTACTTAAGTTACTTACATGTTTAAGAAAAAAGAGGAAGACAATACCCATAGATCAGATATTTTCCCAGGTAAGGACTGTACATACTAATGGCCTGTGAAGGCCCTTAGCAAAGTGCTGGCATAAGGCAAGTGTGTAATAAATAACTACTGGCATAAAGGCCTCTGGTGATCAGAGTAGCCCTCTGTGACTTTCCCTTACCCTGGATTCCTACAAGAAATGGTTGAAACACACGTTTGGCCTTTTTCAAACACAGCTTCTTAACAGTTGCCAATTTTCTTTCTGTGAGTAGCTCATTTCCCAACTGCAATACAAACAGTGCTTTATCACTCAGCAAATATTTGTGAATTGATTAGTCAGTGAATAGCAATGAAGGTCTAAAATGAATACAATCAATTTCCCAAACATATGGTGAGACAACAGGAGCTGCTCTGGAATAGAAAGGGGTGAACCAGATTCTCAGAAACACATGCTCTGCCCCCGGGCAGCAGCTGCCCTAGAGAACCTACTGCCCTAGACATTGAAGAAATGAACCCTCTTCAGTCAGATTAAATGCCTGAAGCCAGCTAAGCATGGCTGCAAAATTCCTCTCTCTCCCTGTGACCTCCACTGTCTCTGTTCCTGCCCTAAGATATAGGTATCCTGAGCAGACAGCATGTGCCATACTCACATGGCCCGGGGTGGGATGACAGCAGCCTCGTGAAAGCCCACAACCAAACTCTCTAAAGAAACCTCAGGACACAGAGATGACGCCTGACCAACCCCAGCTTCTCAGCAGAGCTTCACCAAGGAACACCCCTTTGAGTTGGAGTGAAGGACGTTCTTCCTTGCAGGTTGACAGCAGATTCTGCCAGTGCCCTCCTCCTACACGATCTGGCTCAGGGGCTAACTCACACCAATGGCTCACAGCAGACCTCTGGTTTCCACCAAAAGCCTGCACCTCCCATTTACCCTGGCTCATCCCCACAGACCGTGATGCTTCCATTTCCTTTTTCAGAGGTTAAATTCTGATTTCACTTTCTTGTTTTAGGGAAAGGCTCCATGCACTGGGGAATCCCTTTCAGAAGTGGTAACCCTCACCCAGGAGCAGACTGGGTCAGTACCTAGATATGTAACTCATAGGAAAACTAACACTCCGCATTGCAAGAGGCCAAACATGTGAGTTAGCTGAAAGCTAATCTTTGCTTCTAGCACTCTCAAGAAGGAAGAAATTCTAAAATAAATCCATCTGCGACCAACGAACACCTCTTATAGCCTCAAAGTGGAAAGAGATGGGGGAATTTTGATGATGTTCAGCCCACAGTGTCCCCTGAGATTACCTTCTCTTAGGTGTTCAATTCCATAATCTATGTTCTCCCTCTCTCCTCCCCTGAGCAGATGTGCTGACACCACTCCTCCCCGACCAAATGTGTTGAAATGGTGGGAAGCACGTTCAGTAAGGCATATTCAGGTATTGGGACCAGTGAGGCATGTGGGCAAGCATAAACTAGAGGTCAAAACAGCTTCTAAGTTTCCTTTAAAATTAACTTTCCAGGGCCGGGCGCGGTGGCTCAAGCCTGTAATCCCAGCACTTTGGGAGGCCAAGGCGGGTGGATCACGAGGTCAACAGATCGAGACCATCCTGGTCAACATGGTGAAACCCCGTCTCTACTAAAAATACAAAAAATTAGCTGGGCATGGTGGCGCGTGCCTGTAATTTCAGCTACTAAGGAGGCTAAGGCAGGAGAATTGCCTGAACCCAGGAGGCAGAGGTTGCGGTGAGCCGAGATCGCGCCATTGCACTCCAGCCTGGGTAACAAGAGCGAAACTCCGTCTCAAAAAAAAAAAAAATTAACTTTCCAGGACCATATGGCTAAAAGATGTACACACACTTCCATCTAGCCACCTCAGAACCCAATCTGGACACTGCTCAGGAAAAGGGGGAGGGTGAGTCTGAGAAGTGACATCTACAAAGGCACCATTCGACCACAAAATTGAGTTTACGAACAAATACCAACAGCAGAGAAGGGGAACCATGGTTTCAGTTCCCCCTTCTCTAGAAGGAGTCCTCTTTTCAAAGATGCCCACAGTCTGCATTCAATGACCATTTCAGGGCAGGAGCCTGTGCCCGCGCCCTAGTACCAGAATCAGGAAGCAGCTCCATTCAGAGGCAGCAAGTCAGGAGCAAATCACTTATCACTACTCTACTCCTGCGCACGGAATACCCACTACCTGAGTTAGGTGAGTGTGTGACTCCCCAGGAATCTTTAAATTGTGGAAAGGAAACTATGAGACAATGTATGCCCAGTACTGAAATAAGTAAGGTGTCTGAAATGACAAGTGCTCTGTAAATATTAATTACTATTATTACCATATTTCCTCGACTCTAAGCCTTAAGTGTTTCAAAATTTTAGCATTTCTGTAACGGAGTTCACCTTAAAATCTCTATACATGTACTGGTTTTTCCTATCCTTCTGCCCCTTGGGCTTTCATAAAACGAACAGTGAGTCTCATAGTTGATGCTGTCTTGGAATCCAGGAAATACAGTTTTGGTGCCCCAACCAGTCAGTGGGAACATGAAGCAAGAGCCAAATACGCACCAAAGGCCTCTGGGTGCATGGGGTTAAAACATAAGGGTTCGGGCGGTGGAAGAGAGAGAAGGATGTGGCAGAGGCGGCAGGTCAGGAGAGGGCCAGAACCGAGACAGGAAAATGTCAGGTGACCATACCCACATCAAAGACAAAAATGAGAAAGGCAGTCTAGGTACCACCTGGATCAACCAGTCGAGGGAGTGGAGAAAGGTGGCGGGGAGCCAAAAAACAAAGTCCGTTCCCTTCTCTCCCCAGCACTGCCCCACAGCAGCTAGGGAGCCTGCCAGGAAGGCGACACGGGTCCCTGGGCGAGAGGAAGCGGACTGGCACCAGGCTGGACTAGGAAGCTGTAAGGTGTCAGCGGAGCCTGCGGAGGATGGAACAAAGGAGACCCCTCGCGGCGGGGGAGACAGTCACCTGGCGGAGGACGAACGCGGCGAGCAGGGCAGGTCTGGGGGCCCGGGCCGCGGAGAGGGGAGAGAAGCGCGGGAGGCGGGCCAAGAGGAAGAGGCCAAGGGAGCGGGAGCCCAAAATGGAGCTGAGAAGTGTGAAGGTGGAGGTCGTGGGATGGGCGGAGGAGGGGCTGTGCGCCCGCAGGTGGAGGGGTCGGGGAGGCGGGGCACGGGGGAGCCGGCCGACCCCGCTTCTCACCTTTGACGTCTTCGGCCAGCGCCTTCCACGTCGGGGCGAAGGCGATGCAGTGGCCGCACCAGGAGGCGAAGAACTCCACGGCCCAGGCGCTGCGGGAGCCCAGCACCGCGCCGCGCACCGTGTCCGCCTGCAGCAGCGTCAGCGGGTCGGAGGGCGAGTACAGCGCCGAGCGCGGAGCCGCGACAGCGCCTGGCACCGCGAGCGGCAGCAGCAGCAGCAGCAGCAGCGTCGGCGGCGGCCTGGAGTCGCGGCCGCACCTCTCCATCCTCAGCGCTGCGCTCACCACCTCACGCAAGAGTCGGATGAGTAGGGTCCTGGCGCCGCGGCACCGCCCGCCTCCGGCCGCGAGGAGGAGCCACGTGGCCCCGCCCTGAGGCCCCGCCCCCGAGGCAGGCCCCCGCCGGCCCCGCCCCGCCCCGCCGGCGGCGCCTGGGCCCGGGAGCGGGCGGGGCTGAGCTCGTCGCTGGGGCTGGCCCAGGCTGGTGAGCCGTCCTTTCGCTGTGCGCCGCGGCCTCAGAGCTGCGCCATCCGGGTTTCCGCCCTAGGCCCAAGGAGGCGAAGAGTACAGTCTGGTCCCTGGAGCTCCATCTCCAGGAAAAAGAGTGGGGCGCTCGCTGAGCAGTCGCTGCGGGGGCCTCGCGGAGGTTGTTTGGCCCCTCGCGGTCCCCGTATCCAACGGAAGAGGAGTCCGTTGGAATAGGCGACCTGGATTTCTGCTGTTCCAGGGAAGTTCCTGGGTTCCCGTAAAGCGATGAGACGTTGTGAATTCGAAGTAGGTGGGAGAGAAGAGGGACGCGTGGTCTGCAACCAAGACGCCACGGGATCAGATGCACCCACCCCTGCTGAGGCCCGTGACCATCTAAAGGGAACGTCATTTGAGAGGCCCTACTCATGGATGAGAAGCCCTCTCTCCACTGTGGGCTGTGCTGGGTTGGCGGGGCATTGCCGTGGAATCAGGGTTTCCTCAGCACCCACATCGGGCCACTCTCATAAGATAGGGTGATTCCAACATTCGCGGTTCCCAACAGCCCAGATGCCCCACATACAACTCTTGAGCCCACTGGGAGCTCTCCATGCCCGTTCACATGTCCCTCTTGCAAGTAGCCCGATCCGCTGACCTGGTGTTCACGGGCACTAAGATGTTAATGGATTTTCCCTGGTCACCTTTGCAGCTCCACTGTTTTGAGTGGGTTATTTTAAGGGCAGAAGGTGCTCCCCAGAGGGTTGTCACAAGTGATATTTTTCCTTTGTGTCTGCCAGGTTAGCCCCCTTCACCTGTAAGAGCTTGGAGCCTAGATTTGTCATTCATTTGTTCAAGTTTACTGAGTGGTGTCATGCCAGGCACTTCTTTAGATACTAAAGATAAGGCAGGAAACACAATATAGACTCTAGGGATGTGGAACTTAACATTCCAGTGGGGATAAAGAGATGATACATGAGTAAATGTAGATGAGATGGAGACCGATGTTACAAGAAATGTAGACTAGGGTAAGAATAGAGCGGCGGAGGAGGTGCTGCCTTATACATGATGGTCAGGGACAGGTCTACCCTTAATATTTGCAAGAACTGAGTCAGTACAAATGGAGGCCCACATATGCTGTCTCCATATTTTAAAACTACAAACCAAATAAACCATGATAGAAAATTCCTGTCCTTTTATCTTGACATCTATACCTTCATCATAATCTGGAAGGCCACATTTACATTTAGGATTCTTGGACCCTTCTGAGATATGCCCTTGAATGCAGTGCTTTGGAGGGGGAACTGGTCCTTGGCCCTCAGCCTGCCTTCTCTTGGCACCTTAGCTCTGTCCCATACTTCAAATGGCCTTGTGCCCACACCTATAACAACTCTGTCTGCACATCAGAGTTTTGTCCACACCTCCTACAAATAGCCTCTCCTTGACCACCACTCGCTCCTCAGGAGGACAGACCTTGGGAAAGGGCTGATGCAGGCTGCAGCTGGTAACCTGTTGCTATTGGAGCAGTAGGTTTTAGGGTCCCAGGTACTCACAGTGTGCTCTAAAAAGGGGAGAGGGGCAAGAGCTTTGGGTACATCCCACTGGGCTTCTTGCTCTGTGGAAAAGAACATTGATGGAAGAGGATCAGGTGCTCAGAACCCTAGATTGGGTCACCTCTTGCGGCTGTCTTAAGGCAGTTTTAAAGAGGTAACTTTGAGCCAAAGACCTAAATGAAGTATGGGAGGAAGGCTTGTAGCAATCTGGGTTAGGAGCATTCCAGGAAGAGGTCCAGAGGTTGGAGCTTTTACTCCCTTCGTGTGTTCATAATCTCTCTGCCCCATGTCTTAAACTGCATAAAGAAATTATGTGTTAACCAACTGGGGTGTCAGTACCTTGCTAACTCTCCTCCCCCACGACACAGCCAATTCCAGTTGCTGGGTACACCCCGGGGACTCACTCCCTGTACAGCTTCTGCTCTCCAACGCTTCTCACTACTAACAGCTTCTGGGACCAGAATGGATGGTCCTCTAGCAACCTTGGCTTCCATGGGTTGGAAGTACTCCAGCGGCTAGCTCAGGTTCCAATAAAATTAGGTACCTTCAAATGTCTCTGTTGTTAAACAGTGTTGTAGTTCTCATCCCCGTGGGCCTAGAAATTAAGGAGACAATGTCTACTGAACATACTGAATGAGAAAGTCACCCCAGATAAATACACAAAGATTTGCTTGTTTGCATATCTGTTTCAGAGCATCAGAAATGGAAAAGAATACAAACTATTTGAATGGAGTAGGGACAAGTTTCTTGCCAGTGGGGCCAAAAAGGTTTAGGACTGAGTTTTAAAGTCTGGTGTTTCTGTATCTCATCTGAAGAGGAATTTTCAACTTTAAAGTCTTGGAAGCCTTTGTTTAAACAGAACCTTGAAAGGAAACTTAAACAGATAAGAGCAAGAACAAAATTATAACCTAGAGTAAAACTCACTTTCTGTGGTCAATGGGGACCCTAGGCCTCTATTTGACAATCACTGGTTTAGAATCAAGAACAGAAATCACAACTTGCCCTTCCTGGAACTTCGGGGATGAAAAGGTTACAGAAAAGGAAATTTACTCAGGAATGGGTGTACAGAGAGGAGGGGTGCTGAGGAAAGCCCTGGAGGCTGGAGGGGGCACTTAGAAATTCCTACCCAAGTTCCCTGTTCCCCCTTTCCACATATAAGTTGTAGGAAAGGGGCTGAGACAAATCAGATGAGCAAATAACCGTAGTAGGAGCTAGCACTTTGCACCTGCTGCTCTAAACATTTGCAGACTGTACTCATTTAGTCCCCACACCGACCCTCAATATGAGGTTGATATTATAGCAACTCTCAACCTCAATATGAGGTTGATAAACCATTTTTATAGATGGGACTGAAGTGGAAGGGGTTCTGTTGACTTTCCCACTTGTGAATCATTCATGTGTTATGCATGAAAAAAAAAAAAGGGAATTTGGAAGTCTGCCACCCAAAAATGAAAGAGATTGTGAGAGGAATGCAGTTTATACACAAATACACATAATTATAGGGAGCAGCAGAAGAGTGTTTGATGACTTTCCCCTCACTCATTCATACCAGGGATCACAGAAGGTGTATGCAGCTGGAGGCAGGTGCCCAGCAACAGAAAAGAGACCCTTGCTTTGTCCCTTCAAAATTCTAGGTCTTCCAGATGAACTTTTCCATAGCTGGGAACAATTAGAACCCTAATTCTGAAAGTTGGAAGAGAAACAGTCTGTATCAGGTATGGCAGGAAACAGAAGGTACATTTCAAGGATCTACTTAAAATGGTTTACTGGAAGGACTATTCACAGGGGTATGTGCAGGGCAAAGGGAACTAATCTAGGGATTGGCAACAGCAAAAAACCTTTTTAGCACAACTGCACCAATGCAGAGAAAGGGAGAGAGCTTTATGATGAAAACCAGTGACAGCAGGAAGGGAGGGAGGGGGCTGTCCAACCATTGTCGCGACACGTGATCCCAGCACTGCTGGACACACAGGAAGGCACAGGGAGAGTGTGACTTCCACTTGTTTCTCCCTCTGTCCTCCAGTTTCTTACCATTGCCTCCCATTGGCCAAACCCAATCAAAGCCAGAGGGTGAACATGCCCCAATAATATAGTCCATAGAAATTGGCTTCCAAGACAAAAGGCAGGACAGAGGAGGGCGGAGAATGGAGAATAATGTACCTAGCACAGGGTCCCCAAATTTTGGCCCTTCAAGGCCTTAGAAATAAGAATGGAAGGGCCGGGCACAGTGGCTCATACCTGTAATCCCAGCACTTGGGAGGCTGAGGCAGGTGGATCACCTGAGGTTGGGATTTCAAGACCAGCCTGACCAACATGGAGAAACCCTATCTTAAAGTACAAAATTAACCAGGCATGGTAGTGCATGCCTGTAGTCCCAGCTACTCAGGAGGCTGAGGCAGGAGAATCACTTGAACCCAGGAGGCAGAGGTTGTGGTGAGCTGAGATCGTGCCCTTGCACTCCAGCCTGGGCAACAAGAGCAAAACTCTGTCTCAAAATAAAATAAAATATATATGTATATATATATGTAGAACATTTCTGTATCCCATATAGTTCCCTTGTGCATTTTGAAGTTCATTGCCACTACCCACCCTGCAACCCGCCCCAGGCAAACACAGATCTTCATTACATTTTTGCATCTAGCTGTTTCTGTCCAGCATTTTTTTTTTTTTTTAATACAGGGTTTTGCCCTGTTGTCCAGGCTGGAGTGCAGTGGCATGATTTCAGCTCCCTGTAGCCTCCGTTTCCTGGGCTCAAGTGCTCTTCCTGCCTCAGCCTCCTGAGTAGCTGGGACTGCAGGTGTGCACCACCATGCCTGGCTATTTTTGTATTTTTTTTGTAGAGACGAGGTCTTACCATGTCGCCCAGGCTGGTCTTGAACTCCTGTGCTTAAGTGATCCGTCCACCTCAGCCTCCCAAGGTGCTGGGATTGCAGGTGTGAGCCACTGCTCCTGGCTGAGAGTAATTCTTTTTGTTGGAGTTCCTTGAAAAGTTAAACATGGAGTTTATTCATTCATCAGCTGCTGGGCATTTGGCTTGTCTCCACTTTTGGGCTCTTATGAATAATGCTGCTATGAACATTCATGTACAAGGTTTTCTGCATGCGTGTTCCAGTTCTCTTGGGCATATTCCTAGGCAAGGAATTGCTGAATTAAATGGTAACTCTGGGTTTAACTTTTCCAGAAATGGATACAGTAATTTTCCAGTAATTCTTTTTTATGAGATAGTGTTCCATCCCATAAATATGCCAGTTTGTCTGTTCTCCTGTTAATGGACACCTGGGTTGTTTCCAGTTTGGGGCTATTGTAAGTAAAGCAGTTGTGAATATTCTTGTACAAGTCTTTTGGTATGTACCTTTGTTTTTATTTCTTTTGCAAACATACCTAGGAGTGGAATCTCTGGGTCATAAGTTGGGTGTATATTTAGTATTTGGCCAGGTGTGGTGGCTTATGCATGTAATCCCAGCACTTTGGGAGGCCGGAGTGGGCTGATCACCTGAGGTTAGGAGTTTGAGACCAACCTGGCCAACACAGTAAAACCCTGTCTCTACTAAAAATACAAGAAATTAGCTGGGCGTGGTGATACATGCCTGTAATTCCAGCTACTCAGGAGGCTGAGGTGGGAGGATCTCTTGAACCTGGGAGGCAGAGATTGCAGTGAGCTGAAATCACACCACTGCACTCCAGCCTGGGCAGCACAGGGACACCCTGTCAAAAAGAAGAAAAAGGAATCATCATACCTTTTCTTCAAGTGATTATGCCATGTTATATTCCTGCCAACAGTGTGGAAGAGTTCTGGATACACACCATGCTTGCCGATATTTGGTGGTGTCAGTCTTTGTGAGTGTTAATCGTTCTGGTAGGTGAGTAGTACATCTCATTTTGGTTTTAATTTGCATTTCCCTGATAACTAATAGCTAAAAATCTTTCCATGGCTATTTGTAACTATTTGCATGTGTGTGTGAAGTGAAATCTTTTGCTTCTTTTAAAAAGTTGGGTTGTCTGATTACTGAGTTGTAAGAGTTCTGTATGTATATGTATATATGTACTCACATTTACATATATACATATATATATACGCTGGCTGCAAATCCTTTGTCAGATGTACATTTTGAAGACATTTTCTATCCATCAGCCCCTATAGATCAATTTTGTTTGCTATATTTTAATTTTTTAATTAATTTGTTAAACCATGTCCTCCATGTGTGGTCAGACTCATAGGAAGCCAGGAATCCAGACCGGATTGTTAAAATCTTTTCCCACATCTTCAGGATGAGAATGCAGCAATTTTAAGATAGCTCATGAGGTAGCCTAGCCCACAGGTCCTGAAGCAATCCAGCTGAAGACCTCTACTGTCATCTTGTCTGTTTCGTACATTTGTTACCTCATGTTGTTTGTTTCCTTGCTGTTACCCCTCAGAATTTTAGTCAGTTCTTTGATAATCCTCTCTATCTTAACAGTGCTAACTTGGATATTTGGTTCAGAGCTCTAAGCATTTGGTTCAGAGATCTGTGCTGGAGCCCGTGTGGAGGGGACGCTGAGGAGGAAACAAGAGAACTTCAAGGGCATGTCAGACTCCGGACAACAGCTGAGCCTCTTGCCAGCTGAAGGAGCGCCCTGAAATTCTGGGATGCGTCTGTAGAAAGGAGCACCTTAGGCAGGACTCTCAGTTACACTCCAAACGATGCTAAATTGAACTAGATGAAGTAGGAAAGGGGAATCAATTTCCTAAAAGAGCCAAACAAAGGGTTGGGGAAAGCTATGGCACCAACTTTTTCTCTGCACTTCTAGTCTCTGTGCATTGGCTTCATTCTCTCAGCCCAGCTGCTTCCAGACGGCTAGAACTCTGGTCACATGCTTTCATTTTTGAGGTCAGAAAGAAAAGACAGAGCTCCTCTGCTGATCCTAGTTAGAAAAGCACTGGGGGGAACTGACTGGCCAGACTTGGGTTATGCGTTCATGCCTAGATCTGTCGCTATAGTCAGAGAGATGGCTCATCCGGGGCAATGTGCTCATTCCTGTAGGTAGGAAGGTAAGCACTGTAATCGGCAGCCTTCACTAGAACTGCATGTTTGGAGTAAGAGAAGCGTACTGTTACCAGAGGAAGAGGTCACATGGGGTTGTGCAGACCAAAGCGGGTATGACCACCACTGGGAGGGATAAGGTTGCAGGGATCGAATGGGAGAATGCAAGAGTCTAGCACAGAGCCTGAGACAGAACAGGGCTCCACTCATAGGAAAGGATGAGGTCTGAGTACCTCTGAAGGTCACAATACTCACTTTTGCTTCATGTATTTTAGCCTCTGTTATGAAGAAGAATGCACACGTTTATAATTGTTCTGGCTTCCTGATGAATTGATCCTTCTGTCATTACAAACTGTCTGTTTTTATCTTTGGTAATACTTCTTAACCTTGAATTCTATCTGTTATTAATATATCCATTGTATTGCTGCTGCTGAGTGTATATACATATATATACTATATGTGTGTATATATACTATATATGAGTATATATGTGTATATATATGTATACACACACACACACACCCCCCACTGCAGTCTTCTCAGACTTTTACATAGTATAGCTTTTTCTATTCAAGTTATTTATATCTTCATATTAAAAGTGTGTCTTTTGAGACAACGTGTAGTTGAGTCTTGCTTTTTCATTCAATCTCGCAATCTCTGCCTTTTCATTGGAGTAGCCAATTAACAAACAATCCAACATTGATATGGTTGGATGATGTCTTGCTTTATTATCTTCTGCTTTCCTCTTCTGTTTTTCCCTTTTCTGCCTTCTTTTGGCCGATGTGAATGTTTTCTAGAATCCCACTTTAATTTGTCTATTGGCTTTTTGGTTATGCCCCTGCAATTTTTAGTGGTTACCTTAGGGCATTGGTTCTTATGAGGGGGGCAGTGGACATTTGCCCCTGCAGCGAACAGTTGGCAATGTCTGGAGGCATTTTTGGTTGACACAACTGGGGAGAGTGGCACTGCTGACATTTAGTGAGTAGGAGTAGAAGCCAGAGATGCTGATAAACATCCTTCATGCTCAGGACAGCTCCTCACCGCAAAGAATTATCTGGCCAAATGTGAATAGTGCGGCTACTGAGAGACACTAACTTCCCGCAGTCCACTTAGAGTTAATATTATGCTTTCCATA